ATCCACCCGCCTTGGCCTCCCAAAGTGCTGGGATTACAGGCGTGAGCCACCGCGCCCGGCCGTAGTTTAAGGGATTCTCTTGCCTCAACCCCCCAAGTAGCTAGGATTACAGGTGCCCACCACCACAGCTGGCTCATTTTTGTATTTTTAGTAGACACAGGGCTTCACTATGTCAGCCAGGCTGGTCTCGAACTCCTGACCTCAAGTGAACTATCCACCTCAGCCTCCCAAAATGCTGGGTTTACAGGTCTGAGCCACCACGCTGGGCCCACTTTGCCTTTTCAATCAGAACTCCCTTTACCCTAATACCCTGAAGGTAATTTAAAGGGCTGGCTTTTAGGAAGGACTCAAACACCCCTCTGAGGAGACTCTCAGGAGGTCAGAGTTCTTAATGGCTTAAAATACATCTTTTGGCCGGGTGCGGTGGCTCATGCCTGTAATCTCAACATTTTTGGCGGCCAAGGTGGGAGGACTGCTTGAGCTCAGAAGTTCAAGAACAGCCTGGGCAACACAGCAAGACCCTGCCTCTACTAAAACTTTTAAGAAAATTAGCCAGGTGTGGTGGTGCATGCCTGTAGTCCCAGGTACTTGGGAAGCTGAAGCAGGAGAATCACTAGAGCCCAGGAGATGGAGGCTGCAGTGAGTCATGATTGCGCCACTGTACTCCAGTCTAAGTGATAGGACAACACCCTATCTCAAATAAATTTTAAAAAGGAAATAAAAAGATACATCTTTACAGTGTAAAAGGAAAACAAAATCTCACCCCAAACTCACTATGCCCATGGGGAAAGTTAAGCTTGGAAGCGGAGTCACACAAAGCAAAACCAAACCAAACCTGCCTTTCCTTTTGCTTCTAAACTGATAGCCGTAAGACAGAAGGCCACATGTCTCATAAGGGGGACTTTCTTACCCTGACAATCTAAGTTAACAGCTTATCTTCAAAGGTAGGAGACAAGGAGGGATTGTAAATTGCCCCCCCCAACCCCCGATCCCCGACCCACCCTGAAACCCATGCTTTTTTTTTTTTTTTTTTTTGAGATGGAGTCTTGCTCTGTCGCCCAGGTTGGAGTGCAGGGGCGTGATCTCTGCTCACTGCAACTTCCGCCTCCTGGGTTCAAGCGATTCTCCTGCCTCACCCACGTCCCGAGTAGCTGGGATTACAGGCGCGTGACACTGCACCTGGCTAATTTTTGTCTTTTTAGTAGAGATAGGATTTCACCATGTTGGTCAGGCTGGTCTCGAACTCCTGACCTCATGATCTGCCCGCCTTAAGCCTCCCAAAGTGCTGGGATCACAGGCATGAGTCACCTTGCCCAGCCAAATTAGCGGATTCTGCATCCCTTCACTGATCCAAGCTGGGAAAAAAGACTCCACCAATTCTGCAGAAGAAGGGGAAAAAAACTAACATTTGAACTGAGATGCACTAAGAAAGCATAAGCCACCATGCCTGGCCACCTATGTGACTTTTACGTTCATCTACAGGTCAGGTGCAGATTGCCTGAGTTGAAGAGGAACACATGATTGACTGTTCTTCCTCTCCTTCCTTTCCACATGCAACATACGGATTCAGTGATTACTCAAAGCCTCAGTACAATGTGACCATATCCCTCCCCAGAGTTTTTCTTTCCCACCTTTCCCCTCCTGCCCATTTTTTTCCCTTAAATATCAAAGCCCTCTAAATCCTCTTTGGATTAAGTGCTGACTCCAGATCCTCCTGTGGCTTGTGTCTTATTTTCCCTGGGTGTGTCCTCATCTTGGGCAAAATAAACCTCTAAAGTGATTGAGGCCTGAGACTTCTGGTTTGCAAGTGAAATTTCATAAAGTTGTCTCATACATCCAAAAAGTCTACTTCTGAAAATGAATCCTTGCACTTGGGAGGCTGAGGCAGGTGGATAGCTTGAGAACAGGAGTTCAAGACCAGTCTGGGCAACATAGCAAAACCCTGTTTCTACAAAATAAAAAAATTTTTAAAAAGGCCAGACACAGTGGCTCACACCTGTGAGGAGGTGGAAGGATCATGAGGTCAAGAGCTCAGGACCATCTTGGCCAACACAGTGAAACTCCATCTCTACTAAAATACAAAAATTAGCTGGGCATGGTGGCACATGCCTGTAGTCCCAGATACTCGGAGGCTGAGGCAGGAGAATTGCTTGAAGACGGGAGGCAGAGGTTCCAGTGAGCCAAGATTGTGCCACTGCACTCCAGCCTGGCACCTGGTGAAAGAGCAAGACTCTGTCTCAAAAATAAAAAATAAAATAAAATAAAAAATAGCCAGGCATTAGTGGCATGTGCCTGTAGTTCCCGATACTCTGGGAGCTGAGGATTCAGTAAGCCTTAAATGTGCCACTGCACTAAAGCCTGGGTGACAGAGCAAGGCCCCATCTCAATTATAAAAAAAAAAATAAAATAAAATGACCGGGTGCAGTGGTTCATCCCTGTAATCCTAGCACTTTGGGAGGCAGAGGTAGGTGGATTACCTGAGGTTAGGAGTTCGAGACTAGCCTGACCAATATGGAGAAACCCCGTCTCTAC